CAACATTTTTTACAGTCCAGAGCTTGGCCCTCAGTAGAGACATAACTATCAAGGTGCAAGCTCTATTCCACCCAACCTGTCCGAAACACTGCTGGCAGCTCACTGCACACAGAAAACCATTCAGCACTTTGACTTCCAGAAAACAAAAAGCAAGTGAAAAGCATCCATGGGAGAAATTCAAACACTCTGGGAAAAATAAGCACATTAAGGGCAGATTTTCTGAAAGATGCATTTAGTTCTGCTCATGCTTATGACGAATACTGTTAGCACTCAAAAAATAAATAAAATCTCATCTCTGTGAGCACAAATCTCCTCCACATCTCACTCGCCCTCCATAAATTATTTCCCAAAGCATGTCATGATAGGTATATTTTTATCTGAGGCCAGGAGGAGGTAAATAACGTATATTTTCTAAATGGACATGCCAGTACTCATCCAAGAAAGAGGACAAATTCTGCCCGGCGGCTACAGAAGCCGCATCAGGTGCAGGGCGCTCCGAGGGAAGGACCGGGAAGGCTGAGGCTGGAAAAAAACCCAGCGCGCTCCTGTGCTCGGATACAGGAAGCGAAGGGCTTGAGAGCGGCTTGTGATAACACAAGTACCACCGTGCTGGGGACGAGGGACTCCCGCTCACCGCCCCGGCCCCTCACGGCTGGGGAAGGGACCGGGGCTGCGCCGGGGCAGCATCAGCCCCCATGGCCAGAGCGAGGGCTGCCTCCAGCCCTGCCCACATTCCCCACACCGCCCCGCCCGGCCACCCGGCCCCGAGCAGCGCCCGGGGCTGTGCAAGGAGGCGGGGGCCGCCGCCGCCCCCTCACCTCCCCCGCCGATGGGATTTACCTGGCCGGGGAGCCCGCGCTGCCCGGACCTGCCCCCACCAGCACTGCGCTTTCCCAGCGATCAGGGCGAAGGGGCGCCAAGCGGAGCCGTCGCCCCTCAGCCCCCAGCCGGCCGGGCGGGCAGCAGCCGCTACACCGCTCCCGCTGCCTCAGAGCCTGGCGCTGGAGGCCGCCATCTTAGCTCGGGCAGCGACACCGCCCCCTCGGCGCAGCCGCCGTCCCGCCCGGGGCCGTCACGGGACGCGGTCACCTGACGGGCTCTGCCTCTGCCTTCCCCTTCCCGCCGCCTCGCTCGCTCGCTCGCTCGCCCGCCCGCCCGCCCTCCTGCCTGCCTGCCTGCCTGCCTGCCTGCCTGCCTGCCTGCCTTCCTTCCTTCCTTCCCACCCTCGCCCCCTGCCCTGCCCTGTTCTGCCGGGAAGCAGGGCGGTTCCCTGCGCACGCGCCGAGGCGCTGGGTGCAAATTCCGCCCTCTCTGACTTCCCTCGTCGCCTGAGAAGTGTCGCTGACCCTCGGTCTGACGGCCGAGCGTGTGCGGCGTCAAGCTGTGAAAGGCACTTCGAACAATCAAAAACATGCTTTCTAATTATTATCCTTATTATTTGTGCGGTTTTAAAAGTAGTGTTAAATGCCACGTTAACGTTGCTGAAGCTGAATCACTGATTTATGTAGTTAGCTAACCATCCTCGAGAGTTCTTACGGGACTCTTGGGGTCCCCATGTAAGATTTCCCCAAAATTTTGCAAATCTGTGGCATCATTGTAACATCTCCTTAAAATTCCTAATGATTGGCGTGAATATTTTGAATATTTGAACATTTTGAAATATGACTCACATTGGAAGATATGATCTTACCTTTAAAAAAAGCCTTTCCTTTAAGATAGTGTCATTAAAGTCTACAGATGAAGGGAGAAATGAGGAACAAATTGTAACTGGAACTAATTATGTTGGAGAAAAAAGATCAAAATCACGGTTAATTGCTACTTTTTAATATCCTCTTCATCATCATATAAACTATCCTTTGTGTCTTATACTTTACATAAGACATTTAAATACTAGTAAGTCATTCTTTTGATAACTCTAGTTCTCTGAATCTGGGACACCATGGTAAAATAACGCTAATGGGAAAATAACATTACTTTTGGGAAGCTGATAAATTGCTTTTGCTTACAGACCTACAAGGGAAAAAAAGATTTAATGTTTTATTAATATACTAGGAAATGCAGAAATCTAACTTCAGAGGGAGGTCGTATGACTCAGAAGAGTTTCTTTGGCTGAGTGCATGGAAAAGTTTTTGGACAGGCTTGGAGCGATTTATGGTTTTGTTGATTAGTTGGCTCAGAGCATTTTTTTGTTCAGGGGGGTTATATTTTGCCTTAGTACTTTTTTTGCGTTTTAGGTAGGTAAAACACATCAAGTAAAGCAGCAGCTTGTTAGATTTTTATTACTTGAGAACAAAGAATAACATTTGCATAACAGTGTAACAAAGTAGTAATCAATATTTTAATAGATTTTAATCAGACAGCACAGATTATATTTCAGTATATTTATTCAGCTCAAGCTAGTATTTCAGTAACTATGTGTTTTCCTCTATTTTTGGACATGCTTTTGTGTAAGTAGTGATGTTAACTTTGTAATGCGAACGACTGATAAAAGAAAAGGAGGACACAGATTAAGATTGAGAAAATATGAGAGAAAGTGAAATAATAATTTTGAAACTATTATTCAGAGAAAAATAAAACAAGAAATGTGTGTTTAGCAGTTCAGACAGGCAGTAATGGAAATTATATTGTACAACATGGTACAATCTCTTTCAGAGATTAAAGTAGACCAGGATTTCATAACTGTTTAATTGTAAAGTGTGTGTGAAATTACACTATATGCAGACAACAGCATTCTAGTTTGCTTGGTTTTTTCTTAGGATATGATACTACTCTATATTTTTAGAGATAGGGTCTCATTTTTCTGCTTAACTTAAGGTTTGTGGAAATCTGGAAAAAAAAGTTGTGGGTTTAACACCTTCTTCCAATATAAAAGTTTACGATTTTATTTTAAAAAGCTATAAAAAAGAAAGTGAACAAAATCCTCACTCCATTAATGCCAATGGTAGATTTATTATTAGCTGTGTCTGACACAGGTAGTGTTTCACCCTTGGTTTTCCCAGTCACTTACAGAGTCAGGAATCATATTAGAGCAATTATCATTATTAAAATAAGAATAACAAAACACAGTTTTGATGCCTTCTTGAAAGATAAAATGTTAAATTGCTTCGATCCACTTCGGAGAAGCAAATCCATATTTATTTCTTCTAAATCTTTCATCTGAAGTACTGCAAATGTCAATCTGACCTTGTCTGTTCAAATACTTTAATTTCCAAAAGAGTTCGGGCCATCTCCAATCTGGAGAGCAAGGTCTTTCCTTACCATCCTATAACTGAAATCTGGAAGGAAGGAAGAGTTCTGGTCCACTACTAAATAATTAATACTCCACCAGCTATTTTGGTGATCAGCACCTGTTCTGACAGACTGTGATTTAGGATGGCTGAATTCTTCAAGCACACTACAGTACGGATACAGGAGAGAGCCAGTGCTAGGATTCTCTGCAGCAACAGTAAATACAATGACTGTAAATACATCCTATAATAACAGAGATCCTAATATTTTTAAAGCAGGTATATTGTGGTTTACAGCAATAACAAAGAACAAGTGTCTACCTAGCCTGCAAGCAGCAAGCAAAGGACAAATTAACTTCCTTTCCTGATACTGTCTCGAATGATGGGACAGAATTTTCACCTGTTTGGAGAAAGGAGAGATTCTTCCACCCTTCCTTGTCTTACAAGAAAATAAGTTCCTATCAGAACTGGGAATAGTTACATCACCTTTTTATTCACAATATATTCGGAGAGTGCAGGACCATCCACTCTGAGATCGACTACTGTTTTTCTACCATGAAGTAATGAGGATCTGTCCAGCCTTCTTAAAGACTGGATCTAAGTGGTACACCACAGCTTAGTATAAATTTAAGATAATTAAGAGGAAATATGCTTACTACTTGTAATTTTTAGATGCCCAAATAACAATAACAATATCCTTTGATGACTAAATCATAGGACTTGACTGAGAGAGGGTAACAGAAAGATTTTGTAAGGGACAAGACGGAGGGAAATGTACAAGTCCTACCCAAAACTAATTAAATAGCATGCCTTTGAAAACCTCTGTCCTGAATCTCATCACTTTTACTCCTAGTTTGTTGCAGATGCCAAAATGCAGGTTACACAGAGGGCCTTCGGGAAAATCAGACCCACATTACTGCATCAGTCTTCTACTCTTTGTTATCCCAAAGATGCATTAAGACTATGCTGACAATTTGCCAGCAGTTCAAAGCTCACATGTATCTTGACATATTTTGTCTAAAAATACATGCAGATAGTATTGATAATTTATCTTCTCTGTGCCATTAATTAAAAGGTAACTTCTGGATGCTCCCTTTTAATAATTCTAAATTTCCTGGTAGACTCGTCTAATGATAACTTGTTATCTCAGCTAATAGCTTGATAGTACCTGTAGCCTAAGCTAATTAGCTTCATGATAAATTTTGTTGAATTACTAATAAGCACCCTCAATAAAGTGATTCATGCCAATCTGTATTCATATTCATAGCATTCCTCTTGACTACTCTTGTTTGGATAATGCTTTAATTTTGGCATGAACATATGAGCAGTAAATACTCCCATAACAACTTTTGATCTCTTCGTTCACCTATAGCCCTGTGTAACCTGGTCTTTTTGGTGTGTCTTTGAAAGTTAACCTACAGATTATCTTTTAACTCTTTTGCCTTCCAATAGATAGGTTCCAATATTAGTTGCAATCCAGTCTTAGTAGTTTATGTGGGTGCATCTGGTGTAAGAAAAGTGAATATAACAGATTTACTTAATATCTCAGATGTCATTCACAGTAAAATGAGTCTTTTCATGGAACTAAATAACAATTCACAATGATGTAACAGCTACTAAGAGAACTACAATATATTTAAAAAGTGTGGTTATATTTTTTCAAAGGGAAAAGTAAAGGAGAAATGTATTGTTTATTGCATGTGAAAGAAAATAGCAACTATTTCATAGAGCAAGTCTTTAACTACCTTCTTTTTTCATTGCATTTAGCCAGGTTGTATACATCTGAAAAAACTCTTGTACACATATTTTCAGTGGAAACCTTGATAAAATACGACAATGAAAATTTCCGTATACTTTGTTCGTCATGGGGACGCTTCAGCTTAGGTAAACTTACCTAAGCCTGCTTAAGGTAAACTGCTCTTTGAAATATCTGGCTCTTGGGGACCATTTTGTGACAGAAGGTACTGCAGATGTCCCAGTCTTTCCACTGTTGACCCATAGCCCATGCAGTGTGTGCTGGTTTAAAAGTTAACCAGCAAGGGAAAATGATATCTGCAGGATAACTCAGGCTGGGAAAATTAATGCTCATAGGTATTTAATAACCCTCTAGTGGATGCCAACTTAATTCTGTTTTTAGTTACTATTAATATTCTTCTCAGAGATCTGTGTTGCAGATCTAGATGTGATATATGATATAATCCCACATCATAATTATCTAGTCTTAAAATAAACCCGGAGAATTATACATTTACACACATAAACAACTATGCAATATTGTCACTGTAAAACCAAAAGTATTTAGGAGTTAAAAAATTCCAGAAGATTAGGATTGCCTTTGCAAATAGTTGCATGCTTATGTACTATATTTTTCCGTGGGAACTTTGCCTTATTTACTCCAGAAGATGAAAGGACTCATTGAATACACATGCATGCTATACTGTCTTCTATTCACATTGCTCAGTTTGCTGGCCCAAGATTTACTTAGTGTATACTATACCAACTCTATTATTCAAGCCTCAGATTTACTCATTTCCATGTTGACATTTCTGTGACATTCTTCAGTACACTGAGTGCTCTAGGAGCATGAATTAATTTATTTTCACAACATCCTTCTGCCTCTAATATTTGGCTAATTGAAAGAACATTAATGTTTCTTTTTCTGTATAGTCTTGTGTATAATGTCCAAATATCCCAGCACAACCTTTAAAAATTATGGATTTTTTAACACACTTCTCCTCTGAAAAAAAAGGCAGCAAAATTGATCTCTCCCTGTCTCTTTCTATGGACAGGAGAACCAAAACAGATGACAAGGTACCTTGCAGGTTTCTTCAACTTCTTGATCTATGTGACAGTGTGTCATGTCATGTTTTACATGTGTTACATATTTGAGAACATGCTCCAATCTTATGAAATTCTTAAGACATGGAATTGTCAACTTCTTTGTTAATTTATTTGTTAGAGTTTGCTTATTGAAAGGGCTAAGTTACATTCAAATGCTAGCTCAGGACTAGGAATGCTACTAATTTGAGAAACTGGACATTGACAGAGTGGCCAAGATTTATGTTCAGCAATTAGTGTAACAAAAAAGAAAAAAAATCCAAAAAAATTGATTCTGAACACTGAAATATTTCAGGAGCAGAGTGAATTAGTGGGACAGTAGGAAAATTCAGTCATAGGAATGTTTTGGTAGAACTACTCAGAATCACAGTGTTATTCCTTGAATGTATCTATAGCTGCAGTGCCTTCCAGGTATTTAAGTTTGGTCATCTAAATCAAAAGGACCTCTGAAAACCAAACAACAGGTTCTCTCCTTGTGCAGTACAGTTTTCATCAGCAAGAGTTATGAAGAAGTCACTTATATATTCTTGATTCCCCACTGCAACCTGTACAGCATGTAGAGGAAAAGTAAGTATTAATTCTCTGATTCCCTAGCCTGGGGACAAATCCCAGAATTAGAAATGAGTGAGATTACAATGCCCAACAGAAATAATTGTGGACAAAGCAACAAAGGAATTTTTTACCTTGCCCACAGTACCTCAGAGAGTCAGAAAAGTCTTACTATTTTCAGAGTAAGAATGTTCTTGAGAATATCTGGTCTTTCTACCATCAAAAATTTTCCATGAAGCACAGAGAAGAACAGAGAAGATTATAATGACATAACTTGAAGGCCAAGCCTTTGAAATCATAGCCATGTGAGAAAGAATGTGAATCAGAAGGATTCTTTCATTTTTCTTTTTTTTTTTTTAAACCTTCCCATAGTCCAGTGCTATGCTCTTTACCATTTAGAATGACTCTGGGAGCTCAGAAATGCAGACTAACCATTTATGAATGATACATCTGCAAGGTGGTTTTGCAAAAATGAAAGAACATTTTGTGGCCTAATAATATTCCCCAACTCTAATTCTTCTGTGAATAGATCACTACTAATAACTGCAGCAGCAATGAAAAGGCTTCTGGCTGAAAGGTCCAATTTTCATAATATGTGGAAGTTGTATTGTTTTTATAACAATTTAATCTCAAGCATTATCCTAGTACTGGTGAGAGACCCCCACCACCAACAATAGCTTAATTCCCTATATGCAGGATCCACAAGCAGAACACATTTTCATGATGGATTTTAAAAAAAATGTGTTTTGGTTTCATAAAAGTTCAATTAAACAACATAATTTAATAATAAAACAAAGAATGTAATTATCTGTTTACTGGCAGTCAGGAAGTCCACATTAGTTCGAAAGCTGTTTTGCTGAGCTGTGTTCAACTTCTCAAAGCTTTCAGTTGTTTCGTTATGAGATTTCACCAGACACCCCTGGCTCCAGCACCATGGCACAGAAAATGGGATGCCCAACACCTACTGCTTTGCACATTTTGGATGCTGCTGCTTAATATCTACCCCTGCTCTTCACAGAAACTGTTTACAACTATTTCAAAGGTTAGTATAGCCTTGTGTATATGTGGTTTGTAGTATACACATCTTACTATACACTGCTTCACTTAAGCTGCTCTCTCCCTACCCCTGTCCTTTTTTGCCATGGAAAACTGAAAATTCACTGTAGTGATTTTGCTTTCACCTCACTTCAGTCAGAATACCTAAAAATCATCAGCAATGGTATTTTAGACTATATTCCTATGTGTAGCTTTACATCTTGATGTGACTTCCTACTGCAAAGAACGGCACACAAAGCCCTGCATGGCAGAGCTGGCATGTCACACACTGATGGCAGAAGGTGCATCTGATTTAATTGGTATTTAAACCTGGAACTCCTGATAGAGACAGAAAAAGCCTTGATCCTGGGAGCTGTGCCTCCCCTTGATGCAGACAGATCTCAGATCTGAAAGGTCATGGACAATTACCCTACCCAGTCCTTGATTCTGAATTTCCAAATAGCAACCAACATAATGCAGGCTCTCCCTTTCCCTCTGGCAACTTTCAGGACTTGATTTCAGTGATATACTAGAGTCCTTGACAATCATTGTGTCATGTTTGTGTTGTGATTTCAGCATAATGCTGCATCACTCTTCTAAATAAATATCCAGTGTAATGTCAAATATCTACAAATAAGTAATTCTGGTATTAAAACATTAAAGCCTCCTGCCATCTCAGACTGTTGGATGGACCAGAACCTGTAGGTCAGGACAGGCAGCCACCAAATCTCCTTGGTACTACAGGGCCAACAAGCTCCAGTGGGCACACAAGTCACTGACCTCCTTGTCCCTGTAGCACCAAGGAGACCCGGAGCAAGCAGGATCCAGACAGAGATGAGTGGCTGCTGACATTTGGGTAGTGCACTGAGGAGGCTTTTTGCTGAACCTTGGACCTGATCATTCATCTTGGCAGGAAAAGGCAGCAGATTAAGACATTGTCTTAATCATTGTTGGTGCACCTGCAAATAATGACATGGTGGAGCCCATGGAGAAAAATAAAGTGATTGAACCCGTGTAGGTGGGCTCACTGGTATTCCCTATAGGCATATTCTCGCCCTCATTGTTCACAGGCAAGAGGTTTGGTCATTTATGTGAGAAATGTATTAAATTCTCTGTGCAATACTAGTGATCACTAGTGCTGGTCTGAATGAGGGTGGGGCATATTACTAGGCAACACACCCTCTCCTTGGAAGAAGGCTTTGAAGAGATGGGCTCAGATGCTTATGAAGCTGGGGTGATGAGTTATTTACAGTGGTAATCAGATTACATCCATGTTAACAACAGAAGGAGAATGTAGCATTATACTGCAATAATGCTAAACTGCGTTGCAAACATGGGACATAGAGAAACTAATAGTTTGCCTTTCCCTTTTTATTGAATAACATCTACAGTGTAAGAATGCTGGACACAGTGAGTCATAAAAAGAGCATTGGTCAGCATGATTTTCAGGCTCTTTCCTGTTTCCTGTAATAAGCAGAAGCAGTGATTTGGAAATTTCTGTTTTCTTTTGAGTTGGTAGATATTTTTTCTTAGGTCTTTACAGTTTCACCTTCATTTTCCTCGTGCTGTTACTGGTTTCGTTTTTCTCAATATGACAGAATCAAGGATTCCCCTACCTATTTCTCAGTATTGTGGAGATACTGGTATTTCAGCTTCCAATGATGAAAGAGTATTTCATCTTTAATATCCAGATCACTGGGTCATTTGGCTGAATTAATGGAAAACAGAATCTGAGCAAGCACAAGAAGCAAGGCAGAAATACATGCAGCAGGTTAACACTCCTTCTAACATCCATTTCAGGCAGTATATTATCCATATTATCTTCCTACACTTTTTGCTTTGCTTTGACAGAGATCGTGACCATCAAATAGTATATGAGGCATATGCTGTAGTTTTTAAGCATAAGCATATGGCTACTTATGTAATCATATTTAGTGCTAGTTTGTTTTTTGGCCAAATTTCCCTGAACTTCTGCTGTCCCATTTTTAGTGTATGGCAGAGAGGCATGTAAGAAAAGAAACTTGAATATATCCTTATTTACACCTCTTAATTTATGGAAAATAAGTTATTATTGTATTATATTAATAAAACAGTTTGGATTATATGAATTAATCAGTTGTTTCAGAAATTACTTAACAGTGAACTGACATTAGCTAGTGTGCTTATTTAATTAGTGGGTTAGCAAGTAAGTGCTATCCTCTTGAGAGGAGGGTACACTAAGTTTAAAAATGCTTGAACTGTCCCTCAATTGAGGTGATGTTATAGCGGCAATGAAAAGGGCTATGTTCTCTATCCTACAAGCTCAGAATTCTTTTGTTTCTGCTTTTAGTCCAAATTCCATTTTGAAAAGAGGAATATCTCCCACTATTAGGGTGTCAAGAATAAAATTCATGAATATATAAACCAATTTCATAATTGTTCAAGCTTTTCACCAATACTTTTCCCTCACAATCTGCAAAAACAAGTGATTTGTTAGCAAAAAAGGCAATAAGCCTTTTTTGAACTGAACATGTTCAAACTGAATCTTTTATGAAGAGGTAATTATTTGCATAAGACCAGATATGCTGATTAATTACTTCAATGTGCATCTTATGATCTGAAGTGACCTGACCCTTACAAGAAAATGTTTCTATGCAGAAATAAGATTGAAGCCAATAGGGTATACTGCATATTTTATATAGAAATAACCTAAAACTGAATTGTTAGTTCATTGTATTTGAATAAACTAAGCATTTTGGTAGTCCTTGAGAGAAAATGAAGTATTTTATTTATTTATCTTCTGTTCTTTTCTTATGTAAAAGTGGCTAGCAATTATGTCTTTGAATGAAACTTGTTTTTCTCTCTGACCAGTGCTTAGAGATCTGGTGCACTCAGTTTTTTAGGAACACCAATATAGCTTTTGACAGAAGCACAAAGTGATGACTCAGCACATGGCAGATAAAAGACAAACTGTTCAGTTTGGCCCTAAATTTATTTTAGTTCAACCAGTAAACGGGCACAGCATGGACTTTGCTGATTAAAAGAAAAACTAAAAAAACCTGAAGCTGTGTTTGACAATGTTGCAAATTGTAACAAGCTTATCACATAGGATTCTGTTTCCTTTTATTTTCAGGTCCTGATATAGCTACTGGCTTCAGGCATCCTTATGCAGAATATTACTGTTTCATTGTGGATTGGTTTTGGTTTTTTTTCCCCTAGGAGGATTTATTTCTTCCTCTCCAGGTCCTAGAGAGACTTAATAGCCCTGTCCAAAATTTGAGATGTCTGCAGCTTACCATGTTGTTCCTTGTTTCACTGCTCATGCCCTTAGTATCTAGCCAGACCTACCTCTGCAAGCCTTTGCTTATTCAAGTACTCTTGGTGTGAGTGATCAGTCAATGGAACTCTGCATGTGTGATGAGTAAGCACACAGGTGAGGATTTCCAGGAGGTGGCTGCAAGTATATTGCACATCTTCACATTCTCTTCACTATTTTTGATCTCATATGTACTTTTTTTGTCTGTTCTTCATGTGTTGAGCGTACTTCAAGCAGCATTGCTCTGTACTACAGAAGGCAACACAAAGTCAGTAACCAGTGTCTGATCATTAACTTCAGCTACCTCAAGAAGTGCCTTTTTTTTAGTGTGATTACTACTATTAAAAGCAGTATAAATTTATTGCAACAATAAACTGGCTTTTATTATATCATAATTTTCAGTAGTTACACTAGTACAAGATCTCAAAGGAGAATTTGGAGGTGGGAATTTCCTTGCCATGAGTCATTTCTCAAGTTACTACAGTCATATCCATTAATAGCTTGGAGGTTTAGAATTTTTATGTTCTAAATCTTCCCAAAATTAGAAAACTACAAAGTTTCAAGCTTGCTGGGCCTGAAACAGCTGTTTCTAGAATAAGTATGTTCTTCATTGATTTCTGATGGAAAGCTTGTATCTGTGTGTGGCAACAGCATCTGACTTCAGATGACAAAAGGTTGAAAAATCCCCAGCTGAAATTCCTGCAGCCAGACAGAGTGGCCAGATATGATGGGTTAGATCAGTCATTGTAATCACCAAGAAGTGAGAAAATGCTGATGGAAAGTCTGGTCAGCATGGAAATTTAATATAGCAGAGATAAGCTTGGAATCAACAGCTGCACTGATCAAAGATGGTTTTTCTCTGTTTTTCCATTTGTGGGTTCTGTTGTACTAGCTGACTACAGGAGTTAAGCACAGATTAAAATGAACACAGGCTAAGAGGAGGGCAGAAAAACATAATCATCCTCTGAAGTTTTGGCATTGAATATGACTGAATAGAAGTTCTTGTCTGTGAAAAAAATCACTGGGTAATCTCTGAGCCAAATGTAGTGAAGTCTGCTATTTTCTGAGGCAACAAGATCTCTTCTTTTGACACTAACTTACCTATCAACTTCCTGCACATGTTATCTAGAAGAAAATTGTTAATAATATCTTTTCTACTCCTTTAAAAAAGAAGTTAGTTCTGGAAGGGCAGAACTGGCCTCTTAACATCCAAGATGAATTTGGCTCCAGATTCGGAAGCATCAAAGTGGGCTGGATCCCATTTAAAACAAGCTTTCTTGTGATTTAGGTGGGAAGCTGCAAACACGAGAGCTTGTCTAAGCAGTAGGTGGCAGACTGCTCCCAGTAATCTGCAGGAAGTTGTGACTCAGCCTTTCTTAATGCCGACGGGGCTGTATCTTAAGGTGATGTGAAGAGAGATGTAAAGATGGAGAGATTCCTAGGGTTCAAGCAGTCTACCTGCTTTCATAGAGCATGCTGGGGATTCTCTGGTCAGCAGTTGCCAGGAGAGGGGATGTTGCTTCTACACGCCCTGTACTATCAGTTCCTAAAATAACTGTGGCAGTTTACCCTGCCCTGCAGCAGCTGGGTGACCTTGGTCTTGTTTTGAAAGATTTGCCACTGTTGATACTGAGTTAGCACTCTTATGGCTTTGACATCTCTACAAATCATTATGCTTGTAGGTTTGTCGCTACGCAGAAATCCCTCTTAAC